CGGCAATACATTATTGTAAAAAATTATTACCAGCAATAATTTTTTGAAGATAAAAATTATTATCAGCAATACACTTTTGGAAAAAAATGTTACCATTAATAAATTTTTGAAGAAAAAAATATTACCAGATTTAAACATTTTTGCCGGCATTAAATAACCCATTGAGGTTGATATGCCGTAAAACAAAACAAACCAAACCAAACCATCCGTTATCAAAGATGATAGTTTCTAAATTTTTTTTTTTTTTGTATTCAGGTATTTTTTAAACTAATATTCACCCAATACGAAGCCTAAAGGCTATTCAAAGTAGAGGGTTTCGATGTGAAATTTTATAAACGTAAGAAAGGAGAAAATGGCAGGAAAGTTAGACAGATAATTCTAGACTTTAATAGGTCAAGACGTAATTAGCGAATAAAATTTCAGAGTTCAGGCTGAGTCGTTAAACAGGAAAGAAGATATGAATCTCTACTCCTGCTCAAATGACAGGGGTGGAGTGTGAACCGGACGATAGGAAAATCTACCTACTTCTTTCTAAATGGGTTCTTTTCCCTCTTAGCTTCAGTTTTCAAAATATATTAAAGGTTTTATGCAATAATGTTCAGAGATTTTTTATAGTTTTATTTTCCGTATAAAGTCTGATTTCCTTTAGCGTTAGTTACACGGGACGTTTTCTTACTACGAACCACATTTTTTTTAAAAGTACACTTGTTTCTTTTGCTCCCTTTCACTATTCTCCTTATTCAGTGAGGGTGTGTAGTACACGGTGTGGCGTAGTTGTAGCTCCGTTGTCGTGAGAGGCAGGCGCCATGGTGATATCCATTTTTGGAAATCCGAGCGGACTAACGCAGGGTTAAAAAGTTAAAGATATTGTTTGGTTAATGTTTTGATCGATTGACTTGTTGATCTGTTTGTTTAATGCCAAAAATTTAATTTTCATGGGAGTTTGGAAATAATAAAAATATGATGTTATTCCGCTTTCACAGTTGAATACATGGTAGGTGATACTCAGCTTTTGTGCATATACATGTTTATGCAGACATTGTTTGAGTCGCTGATATATGTATTTCTGTTAGAGTATTGCTGAAGTTATATTTTGGAACAAAGTTTGATTTCTTTAAGAAATGGCAGAATATTATGTGGACTAATGTCATGAAAGAATTCATGTTGTTTGTTTGGTAGCATTTTAAACGGATTTGGCTGTTTTAATTTGTTCGTACGTGCGTATTGTTGGTAATTTTTTTTTATATATAAAACTCTTTTGCTGGTATTTTTGCTATAAAAATATATTTTTATACTTTCATTGTTTTATTTTTGTTTGGGGGATTCACGTTTTGCCCATAGCAGGGACTTTAACATATCCTACTACGCGGGTGTGAACTAGCAGTAGAGCCCGGCGTTGCCCGGCGATGTAACAGTAAGAGATAGATCAAGTATCGACCATCATAAAGACTGAAAAATAAAATTGACAAAGATTATTGTTTAAGGTTGACTGACACGCATGTCTTAATTAGTTTTTTTTTTCTTTTTACGAATTGGTCAAACCCAAACTCAAACAAAAACATTGTTTTCAATCGTTATGAGACTACCGATTGAATAGAATTTTATTATAAACAATTGTCTTGTAAATGGAATTTTTAAAGTATTCTGAATGTAAAAATAAAGAAAAAAGTGTGCAAGACAATAAGAAACACTACCTGCCAAAAAAAAAAAAGGTGAAGTTTTCTTGAAATCGGTTGAAAAATGTCGGAAAGCCGATCCCATATATAAACGAACACACACACACAAACAACTTGGGTCTTATAATAAGCATAACTCGATATGAGTTGTCCCCCTTTCATTCTCGTGATGCCTCTTAATCGTGTTTTGAAATTGATTTCGTGCAAAAACAATTGTGTTTTTCAATTTTTGGCGCTGTTAGAACCACCGCAAGGTAAATTTACGTAGTCCTGTGAAGTTTTGTTGAAATCGGTTGAAAAATGTAGGAAATCCGATCCAATATATAAACGTACAGACAGACAGACAGACACACACACACACACACACACACACACACACACACACACACACACACACACACACAATCTGCGTTTTATAATAAGTATGACGTTTAACTGTGAGTGGTACTTGACATCTTTTGCATGATGAGGGGGTTTCATTTTTTAGATATGAGTATGTCAGATGTGTATGTCCTATTCGAAGTCTGGGAAAAAACTATTTCCTCCCGTTTTAATATTCTGATATCTGGAAGCCATTCGCCAATAATTGGTTGAATATTGTATAGTTAGGTTTTGAGTCGCATGTATCTCGGCATTTTCTTTTGATAGGTTCGTGTATTTTGTTTCTGAAATCTGTATGGGACATCTTTATGTTGGTTGTTGTGCAGTAGAGGGCGTTTTTAGCCAGATTGCATGCTATATTCATTGTTCGGTATATCAATTGTCATTAAAATATTTACAGAAAAAGCATAAGGAATCTAAGTTACGGTGGTGGGAAAGTGCTTGAAGTTGAGATGCCAGGACATGGTCGATAGCATTGCAGACCTAGCAATTTGCCGATATATTGGCAAGGATGTCAAAGGGATCCACTAAACTTATAGGCTAACAGGTGTAACAGCAAAATTGCCCAAATCCTGTAACAGCAAAAATTGTCCAATTGTTAGATTAAGATTTGAACAGTTGTATCTTAGAAATGATTAAAGATATCTGACTGGAATTCTCCGAGGTTTTTGTAAAACTATTGGATTCTACTTTGAAGAATAAAAATGTATTTAGATTTAAGTTGAAATGGTGATCCTTCTTGCTGTTGTGACCTCCTGATCCAGTTTTCCTCTCTACTGTTCCTTGTTTTTAAAACTTATTCACCGTTCTCTTGATGGTTCTTGTGTGATGTCACCCCGTGGCCTCTCTGCCCCACACTCCGTCTATCCTGCGACGACCAATGTGACTTGGTATTGGTCGCGGCACCAAACGTGACGTTCTAACCCTTTGCTGATTCGGATGGGAATCTGGTTAGATTCGGTATCAGCCTTGTCGTTCCCAGCTCGCCTCCAACGTCTGGTTACCGAAGTAACTGCTTTGATTTCTAGTCTAACCTACCCACGTTGTGATTTGATCTTAGGTAGACGAAATCAATCAGTCCCCGGGCCGCAATGCAAGTCGAGTCCGAACAAGGGTAATACCGCACAAGTATATGTAAAAGAAAATAAACTCGTAAAGTTCAAATGTGTTAAAAAAGAATAACAATATTTTATATCTGCTTGCTGAATACAGGACTGCGTCTTTCTCCCAATCCGCTTATATGGATTCGTGACACTTTGTGTTTGTTAGGCGAGTCTTAACATCTTAAGTTGTTTTTTTTTAAGAAACTGGTTTTTGGTGTATCTTCAGGCAATATTCGTAAAACTTGTTTTGGTGGTGTGAATCTAAGTCGTTCTTCAAAAATAAATTGTTCTTGGTTAGAAGTTGAGGTCGTGATGCGTGGATCTTTCAGTCAGCTTTCTGCGAGGTGGGTCTCAGGGCTCACAGCTCAACTCTGTCTGCGTCTGCCAACTGCGTCTGTGTTACTCACTCTGCAACTGCTTGACTGTCTGTGACTAACCCCAACTCGCTGCGACTCTGCTTATATGGACGCCGACCAAAACCGGGGTGGGTTTGTCGGGGTTTGAGGTTCCTTGATAATTCTAAATCCACAATAAGGATCTTCTTTGTTTTCGGTCAGGAAAATTTATTACTTTCCATTTTTGGAAGTCCATTACTTTCTACTTTAAGGGAATCGTCCTCTCAAATTCTTCCTTTCTCATATTGGTATCTCACACCAATCCTCTCAGAGGGCGTCAACAGGTTCTCCTCTCTCTCACAGTGGCATCTCACACCAATCCCTTCAGGGGGCGTCAACAGGCCTCTCCTCCTTCTTCATAGTTTACCTTCGCCTACCGCTCACGCCACCCTTCAGCCAATGAACGCTCAGCAGCGTGAGTGTGGCTAGACTGGCCTCGGTTTTAAAATCTCTCTCAAAGAAAAAAAAAATTCCCTTTTTTTTTTCTTTTCTTTCTTTTCTTCTTCCGACAACAAATCCCTACGACTCTTATCTTAACCGAACGTCGTCTGGAATTCGTCAACGAGATTTTCGTCAAATAATCATTGAGGTTGGTCAATGATTTTCCGCACTCTGTAACCAATTATCTGTTCCGATAAAAAAAAATTTCTATCATGGCCAGCTCTGACATAAAACAGATGTTTTTCCCAAATGATATCTCCGCAGATAGTTAATGGTTTAATCTTTCCTTCTTTTTAACTTGTGGGTGGTCCAGCTGACATTTTTCTCGGTCAGTGCGTGACCTAATTAATATTATTTCTTAGCATTCTGTTTTGTAGGCCACTTGACCAATTTGAAATTTTCATTATTGCCATGGGCAGACGGCTATCTTTTATTCGCTCCGTCGTAACATAAATCAAACTAAATCCGACAGATCCGAGGTGTTACTTTCTTCGCTAATGAAAATAAAATATTTACCACTTTTTTTGTTAGAAAAAATAACATCGCTCAGTGTCTTTTCGTGATAGCTTCTTATCACCTAAATTAACTCTCGCCTTTTTTTTTCCACGCAACCCTAAATAGTGTCACACTTGAATGGAATTTGAAGATGAAAGCCAGATTATGAATGCTGGTAAAATCACTGAAAACCTGAATTATCTATTTTCTCTCAGTTGTAAAGACATATTATGGCTGATACAAAACGATTTTAACCTGTTCTCTTTCTAGATGTTCTTTTCAGTAATTCTTCCGACAAATGGTGTCAAGATGGCTAAACATCTTATTCGAAAACGTGGAATAAAGAAACTCAATTAGTTTAGTGGTTTTTCAGATATTAACCATTTTGTGAAGTGGACAATTATCCCATGCTGTTACACCATTTGGACAATTTTGTGGTTACACACCTGTCAATATGTCATAGTAACTAACTAATCACTTGACCCTGTTGAAAACCCATTGATATATAGTTAGCTTACTTTGTGAGGCATATACGGAAACGAGTGTGGGACTTGTGAGGCATATACGGCAACGAAAATGAGATTTGTGAGGCATATACGGAAACGAGAATGAGATTTGTGAGGCATATACGGCAACGAGAGTGGCATTTGTGAGGCATATACGGAAACGAGAATGCCATTTGTGAGGCACATACGGCAACGAGAGTGGTATTTGTGCGGCATATACGGAAACGAGAATGAGATTTGTGAGGCATATACGGCAACGAAAGTGACATTTGTGAAGCATAAAGGGCAACGAGTGTGGGATTTGTAAGGCATATATGGCAACAAGAATGGGATTTGTGAGGCATATACGGCAACGACAATGGGATTTGTGAGATATATACGGCAACGCGAGTGGTATTTGTGAGGCATATACGGAAACGGGAATGGGATTTGTGAGGCATATACGGCAACAAGAGTGGCATTTGTGAGGCATATACGGAACGAGAGTGGCATTTGTGAGGCATATACGGCAACGAGAATGGGATTTGTGCGGCATATACTGCAACGACTTTGCTATTTTTTTTTGTACTAAATTTAAGAAGAAAGTTAACTTTCAAATACATCTAAACATCGACAAATAAAAGAATAAAAAAATATTGTCTTATATAATGCAGAACAGTATTTGAAATTTGCATTTTACTTGGCCTTCAACAAGTTGGCATCTATTTGCAAAACTTTCCTTAGCTATAACAAGCCAATTTATGAATGAAATGTTCATTTACAATTTTTGTTTCAAATATTTCAAGTAGTGAATATATCTTACTTTGCAAAGCGATAGCGAGCGGGTGAACCCTGCTAGTAACTAATACAAACATTACGTAAAAATGCATTTCTCGAAATTTCATTAGCAAAATTTTCTAAAAAGGAAACGTTTCTAAAATAGTCTCATTCATTTGTGAATAATTCCTGAAAGTTTCATTAAAATTCGATAATTATCTGATTTTTGCAAGAATTTCCAAATCATCGCAAAAAGACGCTAAATTTTCCCATACTAATTTATAGTGGCCCTTTGATGCCAGAGAAAGAAGATTCTTAACCAATATTTTGAACATTCTATATAGGATAAAAAAAAAATAATAACCATAAAAAAATCGTTTGATCTTTCGTCTTAATAATAACACGTAGTTTTTGTCGCTAAAATATTGTTTTTATTAAATTTTGGGTATCTTTTTTATCATCTATGCTCATTTTTTCGCGAATATTTCGAGGCACCTATACAATTATAATTTTGCTTCTCCCTTCCTTTCTTCGTTCGCATGACTGTTATGTCCCGCCAATATCTCATAAAGAAAGAAAAAGAAAGAAAGAAAGTAGGAATGGAAAATAGAAATGTTTAATATCTCCTGTTTATTTCCTAATATCGCATCAACAATGGACTATTCCGTTTTGATCGGGTAGAAAGAGAGGAAAAATACTACTTAGTTTCATTGAGAAAATGAAAGAAAAAAGAAGAAAGAAAAGAAGGAATAGAAGAGAGGAGTTTATCGTCTGTTAATTTCCCAATATCTCTTAAATAATGGACTATTCCGTTTTGATCGCATGGAAAGAGAGAAAAGACACTATTTGGTATCAGTGAGAAAATGAATGAGTGAATGAATGAAAGAAAGAAAGAAAGGAAGAAAAAAAGAAAGATTTAATGTCTCCTTTCAATACCCCATAGATAATGCATTGTTTACGTCGTGTTTAAAGAGGCGAAAAGACATTATTTGGTTTCACTGAAAAAATGAATGAATTAAAGAAAAAATGGGAAGATAGAAGCGCTTAACGGCTGTTTCAGTCAAATGAAAAAAGTCGTCAATTTTAAATCTTTTCATTTGTACCCACTTCTTAAAATAACGACAAGCATTCATGTTTATGCTTGTTATTGCAATATTTTGTTAAAGTTGTTAAGCTAAAATATTTGACAACGCGGTAGGGAAGTTGCTACGAATATTTTACTGCTGTAGAACTCACCATCAGCTTACACAATCACTAACTTAAGAATTAAGAGTCATCAGTAAAATAAAATAGAAAAACCGTGAAATTTTAATTAAAAATAATCTGAAATTTACAGAATTTTTACCCTTGGCATCGCTCTCTTTAATTTTAGCCACATCAGCGACAACACGTATTTTTCTACTTCTTGCACACGCGGCATGTTAAGTGTCAACACTTCATAAACTTCAACGGAAGAATATGTCGACATCTTCACACGACGAAGTTCCTTTCTCTACTGCATAACTTACTGTACAACAAAACCTTAATTATTCTCTTTATACTATTTACATTGTTCGAACTGTTGTCCTCGTCTTTATTGTTATATTCACAACGTCCGACCATCTTCAGTTGATTTTTAAAAAATTTGGAACCGAATTCAGAATAGTCAAACTGTATGTGTGGCGTTTTTTGGAGAGTTGTTTGATGAGGTTTGAATAGACGATCTCCCCATGTTTATCTACTGAAGTGGGCTGATATATAACATTCACATTCCTGGGTCGCTCAGTAAAGTCACTTAGAATCTGTTCCATTTCCTCTACCCACCGCTTGCAAATATCCTGATAGGGATTGGCAAAGGTCAGGATCTATTCCCACAGTTTGTTGATGTCTTGCCGTTTACAGACGAGAATTGCAATTTCAATGCAAAAGCCGTCACATTTATCATGGTAACTTTATGTTTACTTCAACAAATCCGAATACCATACTTGGCTACATACAGAATTCATTTGTCGCTGTCATGTCTAAAGCGTCAGTTTATCTTGACATGAATTAATAACCCATCCACCTACACCCTCTGACCGTATTTTTCTGTTTAAACTTAGATCTGACTTTCAATTGGTTAATCTAAACATACCCACAAGTATATTTTTAATTCTGACCTTATGCCCCACTTTTAACTTCTACAAAGAACTTTGTTTTCAAATTTCCCTAATAAATCATTTTTATCATTAGTTATCTACTATCGAGGAAGAACCATTATAGTTCCGAAGCATGAAAGTTTTTGTGTAGCGATGTAAAATGCTTTTATTGTAATCTATAATAATAATATATATTCGACTCTCCCGTCGAATTCGACGTATGAGGGTCAAGCAGATCAGTTCCTAGGAAACCGACAGCCCGACAACAGCACATGAGATTTGATTATAGTGGTGAAGGTTTCGTGCAGGACCATCCACACTTTTTGAAGGGCCGAATACAGAGACCTGGTGTACTACGTGCCACAAGGTCCCCAAACGACCCTCCGCAGGTTTTGAATTCAGAGTTGTCCTTCTCCTAGACCAGTTGCCATCCAAGGCTATAGAACCCAGTCTGCTATTTACCCATAGCTGGAGGGAGAAGAAGAGGATTCACACCTTTCCAAGCACGTAAGTGAATGTAATGGATTCGAGTGGAATTCGAAATCGGCTCTACGATTCCTCAATCCAAGCCGCTATCGATTATATATATATATATATATATATATATATATATAAGGACGCAATTGTCTGGTACTCAATTGTCCGTGATGCAAATGTCCAGGGGCCCAATTGTCTGGTACTCAATTGTCCGTGACGCAAATATCCAGGGACCCAATTGTCTGGTACTCAACTCTCCGTGACGCAAATATCCAGGGACCCAATTGTCTGGTACTCAATTGTCCGTGACGCAAATATCCAGGGACCCAATTGTCTGGTACTCAATTGTCCGTGACGCAAATATCCAGGGACCCAGTTGTCTGGTACTCAATTGTCCGTGATGCAAATATTCAGGGACCCAATTGTCTGGTACTCAATTGTCCGCGAAGCAAATATCAAGGGACCCAATTGTTTGGTAAACATAAATTTTTTAAAATAATAATTATTAAAAAAGTTTATTTTGTTTATGCAAATATCCAGAGCCCCAGTTGTCTGGTACTCAATTGTCCGTGATGCAATCCAGGGATATCCAGGTTGATGTTATTGCTGAGAAATGTCACTCAATTGTCCGTGACGATAATATCCAGGGACCCAATTGTCTGGTACTCAATTGTCCGTGACGCAAATATCCAGGGACCCAATTGTCTGGTACTCAATTGTTCGTGACGCAAATATCCAGGGACCAATTGTCTGGTACTCAATTGTCCGCGACGCAAATATCCAGGGACCCAATTGTCTGGTACTCAATTGTCCGTGACGCAAATATCCAGGGACCCAGTTGTCTGGTACTCAATTGTCCGTGACGCAAATATCCAGGGACCCAGGGAGCCAATGTCTGGTACTCAATTGTCCGTGACGCAAATATTCAGGGACCCAATTGTCTGGTACTCAATTGTCCGTGATGCAAATATCCAGGGACCCAATTGTTTGGTACTCAATTGTCCGTGATGCAAATATCCAGGAACCCAATTGTCTGGTACTCAATTGTCCGTGACGAAAATATCCAGGGACCCAATTGTCTGGTACTCAATTGTCAATTATCCCCAATTGTCTGGTACTCAATTGTCCGTGAAAAATATCCAGGGACCCAATTGTCTGGTACTCAATTGTCCGTGACGCAAATATCCAGGGACTCAATTGTCTGGTTCTCAATTGTCCGTGACGCAAATATCCAGGGACGCAATTGTCCGTGACGCAAATATCCAGGGACCCAATTGTCTGGTACTCAATTGTCCGTGACGCAAATATCCAGGGACCCAATTATCTGGTACTCAATTGTCCGCGACGCAAATACCCAGGTACCCAATTTTCTGGTACTCAATTGTCCGTGACGCAAATATCTAGGGACGCAATTGTCTGGTACTCAATTGTCCGTGACCCAAATATCCAGGGACCCAATTGTCTGGTACTCAATTGTCCGTGACGCAAATATCCAGGGACCCAATTGTCTGGTACTCAATTGTCCGTGACGCAAAATCCGGGGACGAAATTGTTCGGAGAGAAAAAGATCGGGGATGCAATTCTCTGGTACGCAGTTTTCCGGACGCACATTTCCTGCGAAGCAATTGTCTAGTATGCTATTGTCCGGGACGCAAATGTCAAAGGAAGTAATTGTCTGGTACACAATTGTTTCAGGACGCACATTTCCTTGACGCAATTTTCTGGTACGCAGTTGTCCGAGATACAGATGACCAGAAACGCAATTGTCTGGTATGCAATTGTCCTGGACGAAATATCAGCGACACAATTGTCTGGTACGCATTTGTCAGGGACGCAAATGTCCAGTGACCCTATTGTCTGGTACGCAATTGTCCGGGACGCAATTGTTTGATACTCATATGTCTAAGGACGCACATTTCCATGGACGCAATTGTCTGGTACGCATTTGCCCGGGACGCAAATGTCTGGTACGCAATTGCGCGGGACGCAAATATCTAGGGAAGCAATTGTCTGGTACACAATTGTCTCGGGTGTTACGTTTTCAGGACGCAGTTGTCTGGTATGCATTTGTTCGAGAATCAGATATTCAGGAACGCGATTCTCTGGTACGCAGTTTTCCGTGACGCAATTGTTCATGAACACAATTGTCTGATATGAAATTGTCCCGTATGCAAATGTCCCGGGAAGCAATTTTCTGGTATGCAATTGTCCAGGACACTGATGTCCATGGTTGCAATTGTCTGGTACGCAATTAGCCGGGACACAAATATCCAGAGACGCAATTGTCCGGGACGCAAATGGCCGTCCACCAAAATAAAAATCCCACTCAATATGTTTCTCCACGGGAGATGTTATATTGAAGCGAGTATAGAATTTTTAATATGCGTACAAACATGACAACAAATTTTCGTGACGTCCTTTGCCGCTTAACCGTTACATGACATCACTTTGAATTGATTCAATTTCAAATTTCAAATTCAGGGCATTCTCACTCCTGTCGGAGTAACACCTTCCTGATTGACCCCCACCACATCTATATCTGACCATACTGGACGATGTGGATCCGATGAATCAGATCACATCGTCGAGTCATCTTGCCTTTGGCTGCCATCTAGTTCTTTCCCACTGCCTTGGTGTCCACCCTGTCGCTCCAATAGTCCACCTATCATCACTGCGATTATAGACGTGGTCGGCTCATCTACGTTTGGTCTTCTCGATTGTGTGTTCCACTCTGTCGAACAATCACGTGGTCAAGATAAACACTCAGTTGTGGAGCAAGCTGAGTGAATACCCATTCAACATTGAGAAAGAGAGCTATTTATGGTGCAATGGAGAATCTCATTATGCTAAAGTGGGATAGTCCATTGCTTGGGCTGTGATTGGCTGCTGGTACCTGAGTGGAAGTATTTCTATATAAATACTAGCATGATTTCTCAGTTAGTTTGCAGGGTTTGTATTAAGTTACAACCTGCTTTATTTTTGTCTGCCAGCTGGACGCTAGCTGGGACTCTTACGCCGGTAAGTGTTGTTTATTATGGTTATTCTACACACTCCAGTCGGCTGTCGAATTCAGGCGTTGCTTTTTCTGTTATGTAAGGTGATAGCGAGCATGATTCGCTCCTTTTTATGTTCCGCCGCTGCAATTTCTACTCAGCGGTGTCGAGCGCGCATGTTTTACTTCCATAAGGCATCACCAATATTCCGTTGGAATTTCATTTCCAGCCATCTAAAATCGCCCGTATGTTAAAGCTTGCCAAGATCGATAGATCCCACCAAAGAAAAATTTGGTATTTCCGACAGGAATCTAACCTATATCACTATGCGTGAAAAGTGCCGCTACCAATTCGACCACGGGAGACCATCCTAATAGGGAGTAATTCAATATATCTATTTAGAAAATAGTTAAAAATAACGGTTATAATAATAAGAAAATAATAATATAACTTGATTACATAATTTCAATTTTCCTGGGTAAGACGATAAAATATATCCGGCAGCAAGGCCTCTGAACAAGAGATATCAAGGAGCTTGGAACCACTCTTTAATTGCTGTTGTTCCCAGTATCTGTCTATATATCTGAGATGAAGTATTATGTACATTATTTACATTATTCGGACTATCGCCCTCATCTTTGCTGCCATATTCATCACAACGTTTCGGCCATTGTAAGCTCCGGCCTTCTTCAGGAGCTTGGAATGTCGAACTGAAACGTTTATTTCGCTCGCTGTGGTTTACTGTTCTAGTTCCACGTGCCATGTCAGTTATCAGTCATTCAAAACCTGGTTAAGGTAGTGAAGAACTTAGAAAGCGGAATTAACAGGATATAACTGATAACTGACATTCATTACACATGGCATGTGGAACTAGAACAATCTACCCCAGCAAGTGAAATAAAGGATTCAGTTCGACATTCCAACCACCTGAAGAAGGCCGGAGCGTACAACGGCCGAAACCTTGTGATAAATATGGCAACAAATATGAGGACAATAGTCCGAATACTGTAAATAATGTTCTTTCCAGCTCTGCTCTGACCCATGATGGTAGCAAATGTGAAAGGGGTCCCAGCTATGGGGAAAATAGTTCAACCCCAAACATGAAAGTATTAAAAATCTAGTAAAAATACCAAAAATACAATTATTTCCTAATAAAAATTACCAGCAAAACATTTCTGTAATGGAAGAAAAAAAATTACCTGCAATATATTTTTTGAAAAATTAAAAATTGCCAGGAATATATTTTTTGGAAAATTAAATTTCGACATTAAATGGCCCATGAGTTGATGTGCTGTAAAACAGACCAAACCAGAATTTCCATGTTTTTTTTTAATAAATTGCAAAAACTCTCAATATAAGTAACAAAACATTCAATATAAGTAACAAGACTGTCAATATAAGTAACAAAACTGTCAATATAAGTAACAAAATTGCGATTATCCCTGTTGTGATAAGGGAATTAGGTAAAATAAAGAAGGGTACAAATTTGACCATGACAGACAATCCTAATCGGGAGAAGTTAAAAATTAGTTAAAAACAGCGTTTATAATAATAATAATAATAATAATAATAAGAAGAAGAAGAAGAAGAAGAAGAAGATTGTTACTAGAAAGCGAACTTAATGGGGCCAATAAAACTAAGGCTATCAACACCTTAGCTATACCCGTAGTAACATACAGCTTCAACTTTATTAATTGGAAGTTGAATGACATTAAAAGCTTTAGAAGGCCGAGGTCTAATCCAACTTGAGCTAACTCTCAAAACTACAAGAATCGGATTGGAAGTATACCCCACAAAAAACAATGACCCTCTTCTACAAATAGTAAAAAACCAAATCTACTTCATCAACAAAGAAGATACACTCTTCAAGAAACAGATTAATATACCTTAAATCCTACCAACAAAATACGAAGCGGGTATCATCTACGCCAAACGAGTAAAACAATTTGGCCAAATGAAATTACGAAAAACTGGGAGGACAAGGCGTTGGATGGCAAATACGTAAAAAGAACGAAAGAAGCAGATGTGGACCAATAGAAAACACATAGAAGAACCGCGTTGAAAGTTGAGACAGAAGGCCTAATTATTGCAGCTCAGGACCAAAGCCTCGCAACTATCAATGTCACATAATCAAGGATGGAACTAACCCAAAATACAGGATCTGCGGAAAATATGACGAAACTGTTGACCACATTATCTCAAGATATTCGGAACTGGCAAAAAATGAATATACCCGCAGACATAACAAAGTAGCGACATATGTGCACTGGAAGATATGCAAGGAGCACAAAATCGAAACCACTGAGACACAGTTACCCAAAATAACGGTGTAACTATCCTCTGGGACATACCAATTCAAACAGACAGGGAAATAAAAGCCAACAGATCTGATATTATAATAAAAGATAAGAAATTCAAGAAGTGTATGCTTATTGACATAGCAGTACCATCTGAGAGAAACACCATGAAAAATATCGAGAAATTGTCCAGATACAAGGACCTGGAAATTGAGATTAACAGGATGCGGGGAATGAAGACTGAGACTGTACCAATAGTAATCAGAGCACTAGACCTCGTGAGAAAAGGAATGGAGATTTTTACTAACAGTGTCCGCGATAACATCAACAGACAAGTTGCCCAGAAGATCGCCCTACTAGGAACACTCCATAGACTAAGAAAAGTTCTATCAATTAAATGACAATTCTCTTATAGGGCCTAAGGACCATAGTTTGGACCCGATTCTACGGGATACAAAGCAGGAAACATCACAACACGTATAATAATAATAATAATAATAATAACTTTGGGTATGACAAAGAAAGGTACAGAAAATCATGTGAGTAAAATAAATAGACACACTAGCTTCTCAGAGATACAAAAGATTTTGTGCGGAACTGCACATATCCGAGAAAAAAAAAACAATGTGGAGTCCGTGTGGTAATTAGAACTCCTTTGTTTATACCCTGGAATTCTTTGGGTATTTGACTAAATTTCGATTTATTTCTTTTTTTCAGATTGCTAGAATTAGAATTTAAATCAGTTAAAGATGACCTCATATGTAAGGGTCGAACTGAAAAACAACTGAAAATTTACAAGTGTCTTTTTTTTCTTTTCTCCACACTTCAGTATACGATCGCCGATGGAGACTTATCTTTTATTTAATGTTAGTTGTTTCTTTTGCATTACAATACCTCATAGAAATATTCATTCTTTCTTTTGTAATGAATCCGATATCATATTTTGGTGTTATCTCTTAAAATTTGTCAAAGTATTTTGTTTCTTTTATGATGTGCTGATCTATATGTACACGAATTGCACTAAACTACAAGTCAATCTACGAGAGAGTGTGCTGTATAAATGTGCGCGCACACACACATACACAAATTCTTATATGTATATTAATAAATGTACAAAGTACTGATGTTCATAAAACAGTGCTCGATGTAATATAACAGAGCTCTTAAGTATATATTAATAAATATACATATTATCCCTCATCGATAGCACAACTCTGAGTTTCATGCACACCAGTACAAATAACATAGTAAAAGCATATGAGCTATGGGCTGAATTCGAGATTGACTCATTATGTATAATATACTTCAGTGTCTCTCTCTTCACCTCTTTCTCTCTCTCTCTCTTGTTCTCTCTCTCTCTCTCTCTCTCTATATATATATATATATATGTGTGTGTGTGTGTGTGTGCGTGTGTGTGTATACAGAGGGAGAGAGACTGAAAAATAAATCAATTCTTATATGCATATATGCATATATATATATATATATATATATATATATATATATATATTTGTCATCCACAGACAGACTGTTTCGCTGTATCACAGCTCATCAGTGTGGTTAGACATCCGCTTGCCTCTAGCTAAGATCGAAACCCGACTGAATTGGCGGGAGTCAGGATTCTACTACTAAACCGTCGGCGCATGGTAGGGATGAAGGTGAATTTAAGCGTATTTATCTTTAGATAAGCACACAGTGACTGAGAGAACTCGATTCGATTTGCCGAAGAGTCATGCATTATTAGGCGTAATAGTCACTGTTTACAAACCCACACTTCCTCCCCAGAGAGCTCAACCGAAATAAATTTTTCAGGAGTATATATATATATA